CATACTGTAAAACTCAAGTAATTGCAAATAATGTTAAGTGTTAAGATTTACACGCCCAGAAATGTCTGTAAGGTTATATTTCTTACCTATTTAGTTCCGTATTAAGGATACATAATTGTTAATTAAGTTAATAAAAAACAGTGTAAGTAACAAAAGTCATTATTTTTTCTTAATTTTTATAGTTTTGTAAGTACATTAATAAATTGTTAATAGAAATTGATAAAGGAAATAATGTCATTGTTTATAGAACATGGTGGATTTCGCAATGACAACTCCACTTCAAGATGAAAGCGTGACGCGGGCACCTCTGCAGATTCTGACTGCGTTACTGTCCGAGGTAAGAGTCACAAAATGTTTTAATATTAATAGATTCAGTTATTATCATTTGAGAATGGGGGTGGGGGTGACCCTATAGGATATAGTATACTATACTATCCTGGGGATTCTTTAGTATACTTACCTTTTTCTACCAAAGATGTCAAACTTCACTAAATATATACTATCATACAAATTTAATTTTTCATTAGCATTTTAACAAAGAAAGGTCTGAGATATGGACTTTCCACAGGAAAACCGTAATGGTGTTAACGTAATCACTTCTAGTGAAATGACGTAAATGGTGACCACAAAAAAGTTTATATTCAACCTTAACGGTGAAAGGTACATCGTGATGAAAATTAAATAAAAGTGGCATGATAATTTAAAATGTGGAAATGTAGGCATTGGACTTTTTTGAAGAGGATTTATCAAATTAGATTAGTGATACACTTATCAAATAATAGAAGCAGTGAAGTAATCGAGAAAAATATATGTGTAGATTGAATAAGAAAGTATAGAGGGCTATTTGAAGTAAAAGTGTGGATGGAATATTACGATTGCACCTAATAATAATTTACGGAAACTGCTTACCACCTCGTTGTTAGATTTACCAATATGATCGGACACGTTTAATTATCTAGCAAACACATTTAATAAACACATGTAAATGTGTAAAGACATACATCTTATATATAAAATTCTCGTGTCATAATTTTCGTTCCCATACTCCTCCGAAACGGCTTGACCGATTCTAATGAAATTTTGAGAGCATATTGAGTAGGTCTGAAAATCTGCCAACATCTATTTTTCATCCCCCTAAATGTTAAGGGTCCACCCCTATTTTTTTATTAGACAAACACGCGGGCGACAACTAGTATAATATATATGTGTAAACACGATCATTCATACAAACACTACACAAACATTAAGTTACATTTGCAAATGTAATCCGTAGTTATACAACGTTCAAGAGAGGAAGTTATGCTACAATTGTTACGTATAATAAGCCATAACAATAATGTATTAGATCAGACGAGCGCATGTCCGGCGTTATTTATTATTTTGTTTACAAGTTGCAATCATTTATTTAGACTCAAAGAATGAATTCTATCTATAATGTGATTGCTTGTTAAAGGAAAAATAATTTGTCAAATTTGGTTTTTAGTTACAAATTTGAGTACACTATGCTACACGACATTAATAATGCACATTTAGAATTTTTGTTGTGGTAAGAGCTTCATAGTCGGACGCTCTATGGACAATCTGGCTCTACAATTATCTCTCTGCTCATGTTTTTGGCAGTTTATTTTATTCCTTAGGCATTAATGTTTAAAAAAAATCCGTGATCATATAACCGTGTCGAGACGTCATTTCATTATAATGAGCACATTTGATACATCCTATGTAGTGTGTCAAATGTTACTGATTAACCGCAGTTATAAGGAAAATTCAACATAATAAACAACTCGTGACGAACATGTGACGTCGTTTATAGTCGTCTCAATGGAAAACATTTATAAAACTAACCATTATTGTCTTTTTTATAAACTTAAGCAACGAGTCGTTTAACGTTGCTATGATGCTAAGCTTTTCGAATAATCGATAATTCGAGACTTAGAAACTGTTTGCTAAAATTTTCTTAAAAAATTGTTATATTGCTGTATGAAGTCTATCATGACCGCAATGGCGGTAAAGATCGCATTTACATACAATCTGCAGTCTCTAAAATCAATTAAGCTATTTAAGTAATAGCTTTGAGCGCTTTGTAAAGTTTTTCTTAGATGAAGATAAAAGAAAACAATTAAGTATTATATAATACTAGCGGACCCGACAGACGTTGTCCTGTCTACACGTCTTTAATTCGAATATTATTTAAAATTTGACACTGCAATGATAGCGCCGACTGTCGGATCCAATGTAAAACATTCCAAAATCAACAACTACTAATAAATTAAAAATTAATTAAAAAAACATTGTCCAGCGGACAAAATTTTGAATCTAAACCATTCCCAGATCCCCCTGATCATACACAAAAAATTTCATCAAAATCGGTCCAGTCGTTTGAGAGAAGTTCAGTGACATACACACGCACAGAAGAATTATATATATAAAGATATGAATTACAATACAAAAGTAGCGCATTCAAATTAAACTGAATTAATAGATGAATTAAAATAACTTTATAGAGCTGAAAATTGGTAGGATTGTTGGGAACACTATTATAAAATTTGTGGTTTACCCCTGAAAAGTCCTCATCGATATCGTATTGTTAAAAAAACAAATCGTAATTTTTTGGTTCACTTTTTGGAAAAATTAAAACCAGTATAAATCACTGCTTAACATAGTATTATAATAAGATTATTGAATACCAGCTACTAATTTATATTTGGTTGTTATACCTTGTTAATATAATCAGTAACATGTGACTTCTCAACAACACAAACACAATAAAGCTTGTTAGTGCCTGAATACTGAATGAATGCTTAAATAACTTAGGAGAGACCTTGTTATATTTTTACTCGTGTAATTGGCTTCATCACAAAGAAAGTAAATAATCTTGAATTCGACTCTGTTTTGTTCGTTTCAAGGAAAATTAACTTCGAATATATTTCAAATATAATTACAGTCTCTGTGAATGAACCCAATCATATTCACATAGGTATTTTGTTTTACCTCGTTTAGTTATTTACATTATAGTGCAGGATAACGGTATTAATAAATTAATTGATTTTAGTCGTACGAGGTCAAAGATTTTATATATACCTACATTAAAGCGAAATCTAATTACGAATTCATTTCGAAAATAAGTTTTATTTAAAACTGTATTGTCTATCAAATATTGATATTTATTTGGGTTGATTTTTATGTTTGTTTAAGTAAGTACAACAATGTTTAAATAAGTACTTATTATAGCGATCATACGTAAACATGTTATTTATTTTTTTCATTCAACGAAGAATAAGGACGATCCTGATTGGGAAGAGTGGGCGGAGAACGTGACTAGTACCGCGGCTCCACTACTCGCGGAGCGCGGGGTGACCGGCGAGCTATGTGCGCTGCTGGCCCGTTTGTGCCGACACAGGCCACGCGCCGCACCACTGCCTGCTCTCGCGCCGCCCGTACGCCGCGTCCTCACACGGAACGTCGACTTCGGCAAGGCGCCGGACGCCAGGCGATTTGTAAGAGATTATATCAGGTAATGGAATATGCTAATGTTTTATTATGGTCCTCTCCTAGCATATATAGTAGTAGCTTCACTCTATTTATAGTATGATTCGGTGCTTATGAATAAATTTTAACAAACAATAGTTACGACCTTAATATTAGTTTTTTTTTATAGTATACAAGTTACTTCGTTAGGTAGCGACATAGCCAATTACTAAGTGAAGGCAAAAAAATAACTATAGATATTTAGTTATAATTGATCGACAAACAAATACTATAAGTAGTACGTAGAATCTATGTATACGGTAACTGGGGAAAAAACAGTAAAGGCGTGGTGACAAAGTTACAAAGTATTGCAATAACAAACCTGGTATTAAGTAAAGCTACTGTCTATCCATCATTGCCGTCGTCCTCCGCGCCTTCTGTTTGTCTTGTTGTCATCCATATTTAAAACTAATGCCGTAACTCGACTCCCACACTTGACGTAAAAAAAACTGCTATTTTTACATTTGTATTCGCACCACTCAAACTGTTGCTAACTCCTGACTAGTTTAAAGTAACCTATTTATATTAGAAGTGTATTAGAAACTAACTTGTAAAACATTTCATGTAGTTCGATTGATGTTTTGTAATTAAATGCTGGATAGAAAATGGATACATTTTTAATGTAAAATCAAAAATTATTGCGAGACTGACTACTGGGATGATGTAGAAAACACACAGGTAGTAATAGATATAGATAATGATTTGTTTTATTTAGTGCTCTAAGCGCGCACAACTCTGGTGCGAGCCTGGTGCGACGATTCGTGGCGGTGACGCACGGGTCGCGCGCCGCCTGCCCACACCCGCGCGCCGCACCCAACCTCGTGGCCGTGGCCCTGGCCGCGCTCGACGACTACTACCGCGGTCAGGACATGCCGCACCACTGCCAACAGGACGAGCACGACGTCCTCTGCTTCGCCGACATACTCGAACAAATGTCTGTACACCTACATTACATATTACATTACCTCATAAAATATTAGCTATGGCTAGTCTGTTGAAGCCAAACGAACTGTTAATAGTAGCGTTTTATCTGATTTTCCATTGAAAGGCAAGATTGGTCACAACCAATCTCGGTGGATTGATTTTACACCTTACGATAAATAGTGATGGTGAAACTCATGAGTGAAAATGGTACAATGTTCAGGTGCGAGTACGAGGACTGGGTGGTGGTGGTGGGCAGCGTGCTGCAGTCGGTGCCGCTGTGCGCGGGCGCGCTGGGCTGCGCGCGAGTGAGCGCTCGCCTGGCGGCCGTGCTGCGTGCGCTGGCTCGAGACCCGCGCTGCGCCGCGCACGCCAGCGTGGCTCCCGCTTGCGCCGCGCGCCCCTGTCCGCCCTCGTGGCTGCGCGCCGCCGCGCCATCCGACCCCGCGCTCGCCTTGCCCGCCCAGGACCTCTGCCAGCTATGGGGAGCTATGGTAATGTATCAAGTATTTTAGATGTAGCCCTTACCTACTCCATCGGTACGACATCTCGACAAACGAAGTATATCTCTAATTCTACATAAATAATACGTAAAAAGAAAGCTGATAATGCTGTGGATAAGCTATAACATTCACTTATATTGTAATTTATTACGTCAAATGAGTGCACCTGATCAAACAGCCAATAAATGAATTAAGAATGTAACGAGAAACAACACAATAGTTAGCGAGAGAGTTATTGACGACACAGTACAATTAATACAAGAGTAACGCTATGATGGTAAACAAATAACTTAACACAATACTTAAAAATATTTTTACACCCAACTAGAGTCGAACTTTTGAATAATTTAAAGATGGTATTTTCTTATGTTATAGTGCATTTAGTGCATGTAGTCATTTGTACGTAAGTTCACTATACTAAAAATGCTAAGTTACTAAGAGTAACTTCAAACTGAAAGTAAATTACCGACACGTGGTCATTATTACGAAATTTCGATAGGTTTTATATAAATATTTATGACCAAATTCTAAAATGGTTAACATCGACAAATTTATTTGAAACCTTGAAACTTAACTAGGTCGATGTTTTTACTATTGAAATAACTTAAAAACTTTGCCTTTTATTAATGTAATATATTATATATCTGGTATTATAACCTCGACAAATAATATGCTTCTTAAATAACCACCAGTATTACTGGCTTACCAAAATTGTTATTAACAGACCAGTTAATAATTTCTTTTGCAGATCGAAGGCCTATTGAACTGCTGCTGCAAGAGGAAGAACTTCCTTCAGAGCATGAGTAAACAGCTGCCCGACTTTCTTTTGGTGGCTCTCACTGAACATGTAAGTAATTACTATATTTTAAAAGCTTATTATTACTTTTTGGATGGAAATATAAATAACGCAAGTGATACAACCATTGGAGTAGTGGCAAAAGGCAGTGGTTCAGTGGCTTTGTTCTCTTTCTTGCATATATCCCATATCAGATTGCTTTATTGTTAATTTCTTCCACTTTGTTCTTTTATTATGTTCAATGTGTTCTATAGCCCGCAGCACTGGAAGCTCTGTGCCTGATGCTGGAGTGGGAGGTGGCGTGCGGCGAACAGACGCAGCTGGAGATCATCGCCGCGCTGCAGGCCACTGAACTCGGGCACAAGTACTACAAGGAGCTCTGCGAGCGACAGCGCAATCTGCAAAAATTGGTAAATTACGATATCATCTTGACGATACTATTTGTTATCTGGCAGGGAATGCAACGGTCTAAAGACTTGTATCTGGAAGTGAAGGTACGAACATATTATTCGTCTATATTTGGCAAATAACCACTATACAGAAAGTGCTTTTGCCTGAAAAACTATAATATACATACGACTATATAAAATGCCTGTCATAAAAGCCACGAAAAAGTTTTTTGCAACAAAACTATCCCAAGGTTCTTTGAGAGAAGGCGATAATTTCGACATGTTTGTATAAACTACTTGAGGTTAAAGGTGTGTTTTTTGTCAGCAATCGGTAGGCGGTCCGCGTCAGATGGCGCTGCCGGTGCGCGCGACCGACGCGGACCTGTCGGCGCTGCTGGGCTCCGGCGCGCTCGGCAACCTCGAGTGCCTCTCACTCGCCTTCACCTGCGTCACCAGCGCCTGCGCACACGACCTCATCAAGGTACCTCCCGCGCTCCCGTCCCCCCATATTGCCACTCTGCTCAACCGACGACATAAACATCCATGGTGGCCGTTTTTAGTCAGTCATACATATCTGTGTCAACACGTATTAAACGACCTAATAGTGTTTTATTTTGAAGTGAATCTTGACAAAACATTCTTGAACGATCGCAGTTGCCGTCGCTGCGGTATCTGAACTTGTGGGCAACGAAGTTCGGCGACAGCGGCGTGCAGCTGATCGCCGAGCACCTGCCGCGCCTGCAAGTCCTTAACCTCTGTGAGACGCCCGTCTCCGACAAGGGAATAGAAGCACTCATTGGTAAAAATGCATCTCTCAAACTATTCATTTTAAGTAAAATTTATTTTGCATTTGAGTATATTCTCGAACCACAGGTGGCGGACGACCTTCACGTAAATATGTCGACCTTAATAATCTGATAGCTTGTAAGTGCATTAAAGGGCATATTACCTAAGTCCTAGGAGAATTACAGAGATCGAAGTGTTGTTAATAATGATTTTATTGTAAAAATTCCAGGACTACCCAGTTTGAGACGGTTGAATCTGAACAGCACGAAACTGTCAGCGGAGGCGTTTGAGACAGTGCGGCGGCGCTTGCCTCACCTGCAGGAGTACGATGTGCGGTACACAGAGGCCTGGTGACGACAGCGCGCCGCCGCCCGCCCCGCCGCCCGCACCGCTCGCCCCCTGCGCCCCGCTCGCCCCGCCACAGATCGCACCGCCAAGCAATTTACGCTTAAACCACCAGCATACTATTATGGCAAGCTTAAAACCTTTTACAAGACATCTATAAAATTTTAATATGTTAAAACATGTTAAACACTTCATTCAATGCATATTTAAATATGTAACGTGATTATAACAGCAAATGAAGTGCGCCAAGCGTACAATACTCTGCTTCCCACCTATTTGTTTAAATGTTGCCCGACTTTGCCAACAACAAGTATTAATCGATTAGAATGTAATATTTAGGTTTAGAAGACTGTAATTTACTTGAATTATCGTATTATTTAGTTTAGTTTACGCGTATTATTTTTTCCTATAATTATCGTTCTGTAATATAATTGGTATTTAAATTATTATGACCAAATTTTGTTATTGTACTAAACATTCTTTATTTATCTCTCCAGTTAAAAAAATCTAGGTTAGATGCTACTACATTTGGGATATAAAAATTTACAACCAGTAAATAAATTTCGGTTCGGTTTTATTAGATCTAAGTATTGTATAAATAACCCAGTTTGTAAATAGCCTATTGGAACTAAATCCCCTGAATAGTCGGGCACATACATGTTGGGTTATTATGTACTTTGAAATATGCATTTAATATTAGTCAGATAGAAAGTGTGGTCTTGGAAAACTCACCATCTACACTTGGGGTTGTCGTGAAAATGTACTTAAACATGAAAAAAACTAATACAGGTCGGGAACACACAATAAAGTTTTTCTAAAACTAAAGTTTTTCTAATATATGAGGTTGACAACTCCTATACATAAAGGCCTTCTTTTATAACATTATTTCCAATATAATACAAGCAATCCAATATTCATTTCCCACCTTCTTGCTAGTGTCACTTTTATTTAATGAGATGTGTATGATTGGTTATGTATGATGTATATTATTGCATTTATATGTATTAATGATACGCTTAAATTATATGTAAAACAGTATTTTTAATCTTACTGTAAATGTATTGGGCTGTGAGCAAAAATGTTGACCAGAATGTACACGTGATGGAAAGTTGATTTTGAATACTAGCTGTTTGGTAGTAATTAGTCTATTGAATTAAGTATTTTAAGGCATAGGAATAATCGTTTTTTTAAATATTTATAAATCTCATTTCAATCTTTTTTCCATAAAGTAGAAAACAAATATTGGTTTTAATGTTTAAAAACAAAAATTACGGTTCTAAAGTAAACTTCTTGTAATTTAATCATTAAATTGGATCTCGTAAAGCGAACGCATCGAGAGCCTATAATAAAAATTAAGTTTTTCTGGATTTACCATTTTTTTTTACAAAAAGTGAATTATGTGCACTTTTATTCTTAGAAATAATAAAAATTAAATGTTGCCATATTTTCCTTGAGTTAATATTTTTAACTTTTACTTAATCTATGAGGAGAAGTGTTAACAAGTGAAAAAATAACTGTATGTTTTTAAATAATAATTTAAAGAAAACATATAAATAACCACTTAGATTAATAATTAAGCAAACCATAATAGATTAAAGGAAAGAGTTAAAAATAGTGTCTAATATTTTGATTCCAAAACAAAAAAAACTTTCGTACATTACGCTGAGACAATGTATTGAAAGGCTTATTTAAATGTATCTCATCTATAATTATAAAGAACCCGTCATTTGATTTGGCACATCGGGAACGAGAGTGCTGTACTAGTCGACGTGCCAATTCAAGTGACGATATACATATACTTAAAATTTAGACGCTACTAGAGGCGTTAGTTTTAAGATATACTTCAACAAGTCTGAGCTCACGATTATAAATGTTACAATGAAATTATACAACTACGAAGTCAATGCAGCCATGTTTTTGTCAATCGACCAACTTATCAGGTTTCTCGTTGGATCGTTCGGCCTAGCGATCAATCCGTCTAATAGGAATAATTGATTTTATAAACTCTATGGACAATGGGATTTTTTTTCCTATTAGGCAGATTAATCGGTAGGTCGATAGGACATTGGGAAATCACCTAACATATTTAAATCAAATTCTTACTCTGAACTGTGAATTCCCACTGCCGAGGCAACTAGGTAAAAAACAGGATTGGATGGTTGGAAATGTTTTCATAGAGTTTGTATCGGTAGTGACATACGGTTAGCAAAAGATGACAATCCGGCATACTGTTATCTGTATTTGTTGATTAAAAGATAAGTGTGTGAATGTTTCATATTAGATAGGATCTTGTAAAAAATAAACACCATTTTTGTCGTCACTTCATTAATATATCATTTTCCTTAAATCATAAAAATGAAATAATAACGCACATTTAGACAATTATATTTATTGTGAATTTTCAGACGATTAAAATAAAGGCTTGAACTTTGAAAGGAGCAAAGCAAGAGCAAGTGGTAGGAAATTTTACACCATTGTAGTGGATATTTGAATCTAAACGCATAAAATTTATTTCCATCTAGAACCTTTACTTGAGAAAAACCTGGGGTATACAGAGAGCCTAGTTCGAATATCCGTGAGAACGTTTTGTGACGTGACGTCATAGACAAAATTATACAGCGCCCCTACCGGACGTATAGTACATCAACAAACACAAGTTGTGACATTTCGTCGATGACTTTAAGAAGGCGTGCGTCGTAAATATTCGTGCTAGGCCTAGGATGAAGAGTACTGTTTTACCGCAGGGTTTCGTAACCCTTACCCTTATTTCAATTTATCTCGTTTCATATATTTTACATAGCACTACATTAGCAGTAAGCATACCAGTAAAGAGGTATAAGACTCATATTTGATGTGAATTTTTTAATAAAACGATATAAAATGATTTATTGTTTCATTTTTTCTATTTATATCCGCCATTTACTTTTGCAGGCTTAGAACTCCCTTAAATAACTTGTAAAGATATAAAACTTGTATGCAGATACTTTGGCCAACGGTCTAATGACGTCATTCGTTATGTGACGGTCCTAAAACCGGTCCAGTTTCTGAAACCAAAATCTCTGAATAAAATATATCGCCATCCTTGTCTTCCATCTATGACAAAATAGAGATAACAATATCTTTGAAACGGGGTTTTGGTCTCAGAAACCCACGGTCAATGGAGACATTAAGTTTTGAAATAAATAAAAACACACCATCCAATACTAGTTTAAATATATTTAGGTTAATTTCAATATTAACGTTTGTGTATCATACATGTTTTTACACGTTTAATAACTTAAAATTTTCGTCATATATCCATTCCCACTGTAAAATCAAGATTTATTCATTAAAAACAAAGCAAAATTAGGGACATTTTTTCAAAATTCTGAAGAACTCAGATGACATGATTTACTATTTCTATTTACAAAACTTAATCATAAATAATAATAATAATATATGGGAAAATAATTCAAATATATGTTAATCCTATGTTAATTTATAATGTAGTTTAAAGTAAGTTCTGACATATATCGTACTCAAAATTCAGGAAAATACCAGATTTGAATTTGTATTGGAATATTTTATTTATTAATTAATAATAACACATAGCAACGGAACAGTTGTCGAAATCTATAATTTAATCTAATTAACTTATATTTAAATACACAAATAATTAATTTAAGATCAAAGTTACACTGAAATATTTTAAACGATCGTACCAACTTTCATGTCAAATGGAAAACTTTATAAACACAAATCTATTTATTACAAAACTAACATTTAGAACAATTTTTTTTTTAGTTTATTTATATACAATATGGACACGTGATTGCAAAGTTTTGTACAAGTTTACAGGATGTTCAGATTTCTAATAATTACTATTTTAATTTAAAACATCTAAAAAAAACAATATATGATCTGTTATCATCTTGAAGCCATATAAATTGCTTATCATTTATTCCAGAAAATAAATAGCATTCATGTTTATATGCAGAATAGTCATAATGGCAACTCTGTACATATTTAAATCTATCTTAAAATACATTTCAAACTAATGATTGCGTTAAAAACATTTGCATAACGTAACACACCATATTAAAATTAGTTACAAATAAAAATATTGATACGTTAAAATGACATTTTAATTTAATAATTATCAAAAATCCTAAAAAAAATTAAATAATAATCGATAAAATTTTGTAACAGGCATAGTAAAAAAATGCATTTATAAAAACACCAAAACATAGCTCCACCACAGAATAGTTAATTCTTTCGATGTGTAACTTAAAAGTATAACATTTTTCAATTTATATTATTTATTTATAAGAAAATATTATACGAACATAACTTTATTAAATGACATTTGAATTTGTTTACAAGACTTACCGGAAGGTTTCGAAGACCAAAACATCGGCATACAATCGTCATCATTGCCGTATAAAAAATATCTTCATCCCCGTCATCTTTGATAAAACAGAGTTAACGATATGTAACGTATAAGAAGGGATTCTGGTCTCAGAAATCTATGATTAAAGTCTCAATTTATAAGTATTGAGTGAACTATATTTAGGTGTTATAATTATTATAATTTGTAGGAATTTTCAAATCGTTAATAACATTTTTTAGTTTTTATTAATCATGTTTATAATTATTTAAAAAATTACGGTTTATGAATAAATAAAAACACAGCTAAATAAATATTATCGAAAAACAAATTGACATTTTAATGTAGTAATGTTTTATAAAATTAATCTAACGTGAGAATTGTGAAGTTACTACAAACTTACATACTAAAAACTACATTATTACATAAAATTAAAATAATAGGAAATTTTGATAAATTTGTATTTAAAAAAGAAATGACAAAAAAGAACTTTAGTACATCCTGTTTCAGTGGTGCAAATTTTTTATGCAACATAATCTAATGTAGACAAAACACTTAACGAAATACAGTTTTTTTGTACAATTAACTGGAAAAAATGCATCTAACTTGAAACAGTGTAAAAACTAGGGGTAATTTAAATTATTAAAAAACCAATCAGATTAATAAAAAAAGTTGCCTTTTTATGTCAATACATAAGTTATAAAGGTTTTTAAATTTTAACACTCTCACGAAATCATAAGCCTTTTTAAAGCCAGTTATTACCACAAATGTAATTCCTGATACAAACCGTATCTCTATTTTACACAATGATAAACATGCATAGATTTGATCATTAAGGAACAAATTATGTTAGCAAATATAATTTACTTTAAGTCTACCGGCATAAGAAACTTCTAGAAAAAAATATATATGCATAAAAAATAACACAAAAGGGACATATACATACCATAGTTATTTATTCTATACAATTTATATCTATCAGTTACCTATCAATTTAACTATAATATATCTTTGTGCCAGTTTAACTTGCACTCCTATGCTTTAGTGTGGTGAATAATCAACATAGTACCAAATTTGAGAAAATATTTAATAATCACATTAAAAATGTTTATCCAAATTATAATATATACATATGAATGTTTAATACTGGCATGATTTGATATACCACATTACAAATTAAGTCACCAAAGATGAACAAAACTCACATCATTGTCTTTATTCGTACATCTCATGCGTATCGAATCCGAGTAGATATATGGCGGCCATGTCTTTCTGATGATCTTTGGGCCGCTATTTGGTAAAGGCGGCGAAGACGGCCCACATTATCTCACAGGCATCTGGGCGCATGGCCTCAGCCTCAAAATCTAGATCGAGAAGTGCTCGTACACGTCTCGTAGCCAGCTCATAGTCCTCGTCCGATAGTGGAGCGAATGCATTCTCCAGCACATCTGCCGAGTGCGCCAACATCAACAGCGCCAGCGACCTCTTGTCTGCGTGCGCTACGTCACTGATCGACCGCCGCAGCGCTGCTTCTTGTACCTACAACACATAATATACATTTAATCTTAAATCACACATCTATATATAATATATAAAAGAACGTCGTGTTAGTTACACTATTTATAACTCAAGAACGGCTTTACCGATATGGCTGTATATTGGTGAGGAGGTAGCTTAGAGCCAGGAGACGGACATAGGATACTATTTATTCATTGTTTTTTTCGAATTTATGCCTTGAAGAGCTGCTTTTTATTTAACTTACTAATATTATATTATAAATGCGAATGTTTAAATGGTTGTGATGTGGATGAATGGATGGGTGTTTGTAGATATCTCTAGAATGGCTGAATGGATCTCGATTAAATTTGGCATACATATAGAACATAGTCTGAAAGAACACACAGGCTACACTAATTAATTTTTATCCACGCGGACGGAGTCGCGGGCGACAGCTAGTTTAATAAATTAAATAATTTTGTCTGTAGCACCAAATAACTATATCTTAAATCAGCTTAAACGGAGAGATGAATTAAACACACCATAAGTAAGGGCAACTAGAAACACCATACTATGACTAAATTAAGCCATTTTTTAATATTTACATTACAATTTTTATATTTTATTTTAAATTCAGACACTTCCATCAATTTTATTTTAGTTTAATATTGTTAACGGAACTTTACCGTACATCTATGTTATCACAATACCTACAATGGTGTAACACAGAGATATATATTTTTTAATCTGACTTTTAGTTACAAGCTAATTACATTTTCATGTTAGTTGTTATCAATTTAGGATATAATAAGGATAAAAAATTTACTTTTAAAATGTTCTACATAACAAATAATGTAAATTACATATGTAAATTTTAAACTAAAATGGATCATGGACCATAATTAAGATAATCCATGTTAATGAATGGTGAATTTTCATTCATTTTGGCACCTAAGGACTATTAGTAATAATGTATAATAGAAAATCTACATCAAATATTACGTGTAGTCCATAGGTGAAAATACATAGAAAGATTTTAAGGTTGCAAACACATAAAGATGTAAATAGTTTAAACAGACATACCTTTTTAACTAAGCGACATTTGATAACATTGTCTGTCAAAGGATGTGTGGTCATATCAAAGAGTAGGAAATTTTGTTTCTCCGTAGTAAGAACTCCTTTCTCCACCAGATTCTTTGCTAGCCTTTCCCGGACATTCTTCAGTTGGTACTTCAGCTTCATTGGATTCCAAGTCTCACCTGTAAAATATTTATATGATAATATTAGAAGTTGAACTAACCAAGTGTTGCTATGCTTAAATACTCTTACAAATTAGTAACCTGATGTTAGTAACAATAATTTTAGAAAGAAAAATACATTAAGATGTCAAATCAAATCACTTTGGATAGAATAATAAGGAGATACAACCTACCACTCAAGTACTCTATCCAGCTTTGTACAGTTTCTGGTGGATCAGTCTCTTTCATGTGTTTTAATGCTTCATCTAATAAAACATCACCAGTTGGTGAATCTGAAAAGCAGATATGTATATTACTATACATAAAAATGAGTAGGAGTAAGTGACTTACACTAAAAGATTTAGAATCGACAGATTTCAAATTGAATTTGCTGCGAATACCTATCGGAAGATAAGTTAGGGATTAGTGAAGCTGATCTATTATTCAGTTCCTGGCATTACAAATAAAAAGGCAATCATCTGTTTTTATTTTTATTTTTGTAATAACTCAATTCTAGAAATAAGATTGATTAAAGTATAGCTCAAATATATTATATTCAGATTACTAAAGATCAAGGAAACATTTTGCAATATCTTACCTAAGCCAAACAGTAATGATTTGAAAGGCAAATTAAGTTTTGACATTTAAAACCTATGTATGATAAAACTGTTTAATTTGTACCAATTTTGTAATATCAGCAAAAAGTGTGTGTTAATGTGTTAATCAATGAATGACCTACCCTCAGGTCTGTTAAAATGCTTGAAAAAAGTTAAGTGCAAGCTATTATTTATATTATATTACTTATGTACTCAAAACTTTAATGCTAGTGACAAACCACAGCGGTGTTATAATTTAAAAAATATGTAATATTTTTATAGTAAAATTATTTTGATAATAGACTATATGAAATAAATATGAATCAAGATTGTAGTTACCTGATTTCACTATAACTTTTCTAGATAACAATCCCTTTCTTCTCATCCCGGCTCTTTCTAATTCTACGCGGCCTCGTAGTCCTAGTTCAATTAGTATACATCCTCTTAAGCCACTAGATATGCAATCATTCCAAAACGATGTGTAACCCTAAAAAATATAGAATTTTACGTAGCAGTTGCCTATACATAGATGAATAGATTATTTTTATTTACATATGTAGACATTTACCTCTTTATCCTTCAATCCCAATAGTAAAACTTCTTCCATCAATGTTAAACGAGTTTCTTTAGAGTCGCCATCATCATAATTTTTATCGTTTTTCTTATCATCGTCATGGTTCTCTTTTGCTGTTCCATCGGAATTGTTATCCTTTAAAACATTTCTTCGTTGCACCAATCCTTCGGAGCGATTCATTTTACCATCTAAAATATATCACACAAACAAAACTCAAAAATATTTTTGTGTGGAATAAGAATTTGATTATTATTTTTTATAAGTGAATGGTTTATCAATTGTTGACGTTTGCCATACGACGTATGAGAAAAATATGGCCGAAGAAAGGAATGGAATGTGCAAACAAAGATTATATAGAATAAGTGTTTCGATTTTTATGATTGTACAATTTGACTACATTATTTTTATTTTTACTTGTAATCTTCCATAATTAGTACTTATAGTTTCATCTTATTATCATCATACAGTATTTATATCATCTCCCTGTCTCTATTTCAATACGTATGCAATTTGTATGCTAATGCTAATTTTTAGCGCTACTGACACTGTCTTACTGTACTGGCATAATGTAAACTAGGCTTTAAACGTCACGTCAATTCTCAAACGTCAAATACTCAAAATCCATAGATTTCGTAATGTCATATGTCAACTGTCACAAACGTCAATCAATATATCTTGGATGTTTTTGAATGAAGGCGAGTTTTTTCATTTTGTAAATATGATAAAACAAATAATGAAATTATGAATAAATAAACAAACTTTACATGCAATACCACTTTTACCGTTGTAAAAAGGTTAAAACGTTTTATATTGCTATTAACCAAATTGTTTATCCTTTTTCAGTTCATATCAGGTAAAATTCGCTTATTTCAAAACATTTCAAAAACCTGCAACGGATTAAGAAGCAGGCCTATGTCGAAATCAAATGATATATTTTATGGATCTCAAGATAGGTAAGTACAAAATGTGTGTTCATGATTTAAAATGCGTATATATTAGGTAATCATACATAAATCTAATAGAAAATAATTTTTCTTAAGATAAAAACTCAAGAAGTCAATGACCTATTGATATATCGAACTTTGCTACTTTTTTTTCATTATATTTCTTTAATTTTCCATTTCTGATGTATTACCTATTAATTTATATCTCATTTTTGCTTTTACAGCTATAAAGGAGAAAAGCTGATATACCCAGCGGCAACTAGGAATCAAGAACCTATATTGCAGGTTTTAAAGAGGTTTATAATAAGTGATACAGACATCATAAATGATGAAAGCCCCACTTTTGTTGAAATATCCTCAGGATCTGGCCAGCATTTGGCACATTTTGCTCCACATTTCCCGGGTGTTAAATTTCAACCTAGTGAAGTTGATGAAAATCTGTTTGGAAGTATATCAATATATGCCACAAACTGCCTTACAAAAAATATTTTACAACCGATATTGCTTGACATAAGAAACAAGTTATCATGCTATGGGTTCGAAGAAAATAGTATTGATTACATGTACAATGCTAATATGATGCATATAACACCTTTTGAATGTACTTTAGGATTGTTTGAAAATGCTGGAAAGTATTTGAAGCCTGAAGCTCTTATGATAACTTATGGTCCTTACAGTAAGGATGGAATAATAACACCTCAGAGTAATATTGACTTTGATATTTCGCTCAAACAGAGAGATTCGCTTTGGGGTCTAAGAGACATTAATGATTTAGTTAGAATAGGTGAAGAAAATAATCTTACTTTAATAGATACAATAGAAATGCCGTCAAATAATAAGACATTGATATGGAAAAAGGACTGAAATATTATATAATTAAATACTTCTTGGCAATTAAACATTATATATACTCACTATAACAATATAAACTATCTTTAGTGCAAATGTATTTTGTGCTCAAAATAATGGATTTTCTCTTTATAACTCTTTTGCTGGTATTATATGGTTTTTCTAAATTGTTATTTACATTTTCTTATTAACATACATGCTTGTTATATTATTATAACATAATTGTAAGTATATAAAAATGTTAATATACATTTGTAAGAAAGCAAATAAAACTTTTTACTAGTAATTATTTTATTTTTATCTATGTTTGATAATTTTACTCATTAAGGGTCGTAAATCAATATGTTGCTGTAGCATAATATTATATTGTTGCTCTAACAGTGACTTTTACACTTTTAATACATACTAGCTACGCGCAGGTTTGCCGATGAGACGAGTTTACGCCTGACGCGTCTTTTTAGTGAGGGCAGGCTATGCTTTGAATTCATTGTTAAATTGTAACGTTTCACTTGTTTTTTTATAAAGTTTGGTTTAATAGACTTTAATTATTTAACTATACTTTCACGGCTTAGTTTGATTCATTCGTTAACAGTGGAATATATGATTACGACCGATTTTTTTTTATTATTTTTATGTAAAGTGTATACGATAAAAAAATCTAGATAAATTTTAATTTATCTATATGCCTTATTAAATGTATTTGATAACCTTCAGAGGTGGTCATTGTCAATCACCGCTAATATCGACAAACTGATAATCATACCCACGTATATACTTTTAACGCCAGTAATTTCCGTTACACAAAATTGAGGCTCTTATGTAATCCATAGTCAATGATTTTACTAAGCATATACTAGCTGTTTATGTTTATTACCTATGTTTCTTCCAGGCTATGTACTACATCTGTGTGAAATTCGTGAAGATCCGTTGAGCCGTTCCGGAGATACCTTCGAACAAACATCTATCCATAAATAAGTAAGATTTTAATGCGTTGGCAATGACATGACCAACATCATTTTAAAATAAAATATTTAGTTCTACTATAAGAGTATATAGAAAGAGTATTTTAAGTAAAAAGAAGATTGCTCAGTTATGCTCGTCCCGGAGAGAGCACAGCCACGCCCACGTTTATTGAAATATATTTTTCACCATTCCATTTAGCTTCATCAGAAAACTTTGTACATATTAGGATATATGTAGTTAACAACAATATAGTCGAATGCCGGATTCGAACCCAAGACTTCAAGTTCGCTTGTCGGTACACTTCTAACTAATATTCAGTGTTTCGATCTTACAATTGATTCACAATAACTTTGGAGGCGGCGGTGGCTCGAAGGTTGAGCAGTTAACTTGTTATCTGCAGGTCCTGAGTTCAGACCCCGTCATTTACCAATGTGGTTTTGGAATTTCATATGTATCCGTACGTTCTTACGGTGAAGTAAAACATCGTGTTGTAACCTGCATCGGCGAAGAAATTCAACGATATGTGTGAAATCTAACAACGCGCACTGGGCCAACATTGTTTACAAAGGCAAAGTCACCTTTAACATAGAGAGGATTCCAAGCTCCTCGGTAAGGAAGTATGAATGAGAGATATAATTTACTGACATTATATATAGTGGGAAAGAGTGAAGTAAATAAAATAATTAATATATAGGTACAAAAAACTAGAATATGATATTGGTGTTATCGGTTTAGCACAGTCAGTTTGATAGTATATATCAGTATTTAGACCCCTACCGAAGCTTAAAGAAAATATTATCAAATAATCCATAATGTAATTAAGGTATGTAGATTGTGTTAAATCTAGTTTTAATACAAAACAAGTTGTTTTTAAATATCAAGTACTTTAACGGTGTTTTTATAAGTTGACTAGAACAACTACGGACATTTTTATACGCCTTTTGATCAGACTGATAAAAACTGTAAAACAATTTTATCCATTTTTGATCTACTTAATTTTGGACTGGTAATGCTATTATCATTCGTTTCATATAGAATTTTCCATCTATATATTATCAAATAAGCATGAAACCATTACACGTAAGAGAAAAGTGGTGAGTTAAGAAAAGTTCCAAAAGTGGAAAGATTAAGATAGGTCAAAGATTAATTGTGAATTTTTTTTTATAATTTGGTTTATTACCTACAGCTGATTAGGTAAAGCCGTGGCGATTTTTATCAGAGCTTAGTTCGAGAGAAATAGCGCAATTCGACGAGTCGCATTGCGTTGACGCGGACGTGTGCGCAGCGCGCGGCAAAGGCGGCGGAACGCACGAGCACGGCACGACAGACTATCACGCAAACGAGCGCACACGACGTCACGCCATGGCAGACACTACAACTCCCACCACGGTATGTTGTGTGTCAATCCTGTTAAATAATTCAAACATTTCCACGCGATTTTGTTTATTACTCAGCTAAAATAGTGTACCAAATGAAGGAAGGTAAATAGCATAAACGTAAGCCAAACATCTTTAGTCATTGAACTTTACACCGTAGTGTGGCGCGATAGGGCAAACCGCCAGTTGGCTACCAAACACGCGCCGCCGTGGTCGCTATAAATCGAACGTTTTCCTCGCGATAACACGAACTGAAATATTTTAACTAAGCAAATGTGTTAGAAAGAGCTATTATTCAACTTTAACTACTTATTATATTAGTGGCAATACCTGTTTTGTTTGGTTTGGAAAAAAATATATGGTGAGATTTATATTGAATATATTATTAAATTATTCTTTATAGAAAATATGATATGAGTGAATCCAATAACAACGCCAAAATAAGGGTGAAAGTAAAAATGTGTATCTATCTTACTTCTTACTAATATTAAGATGTTTGTTACTAAGTATCTCCACAGCGGCTCGCTTAAATTTAGTATAGATGTAAACACAGACTGGAAGAACACATACGCTACTAATTAATTTTCCTGTAATTCCCCGCGGACGGAGTCACGGGCAATGGCTAGTATATCATATATTAATAGTTAATGTTTTAGTCAAGGATGTCTATTTACTTATTCGGTTCACTTGTTTATGGTTTCACGACCTTGATTTTGGCAAAAATATTTTTTTACTTTGAAAAAGTGTTTAAAGTTATAGAAGAGACGAAAGGTCGCTGGTGACTTCATACCCGTTACAAGAACCCGTTACTCGACCCCCTTTTCGTAATTTTGTTTGACATATACCTACATACTTATATAAACACGTATATAAACAACAGTGTCAATTTAAAATTACTTAAGAAATTAGTTCGTAAGTAAAGAATCAGTATATTAAGTTAAAATGGTTACATTTTTTCACACAAGACTCGTGACTCACATATAAAGTAGTTGTTTTTTATTTTAATTTATTGAAGACGGATTGATCTTAAAAGTGACAAATGTACTGTTGTCACTGTTTTTTTCCTGAAGATTGTAAAGGATGGCAATAAGTTGCAATACGTCTGTCAGTTTTATTCTATTGTTAAATGTTTTTTTTTTCAAATTAATTAATCGCGTGACAGAAAGTACGAATAATAAATTA